GCCATTGAGCCTTTGCGACCTGTCACCTGCCAATTCTCTTATTTTATACTTTCTCCTCCATCTCTTTTCTTCACCCTTGCAATTAAATTTTGAAGAAGCACGGTCATATTTCCTGTGCTTTCCTGCAGACTAGATTTTGCTGGCTACAACGTCATGTTGGTTAATACACACCTCCCCTTGTCCTCTGTGTTTTCCATATGGCCTTAGACCCACTGAGAGAGCCTTTCATAGATGGTGTTGTGTTCTATGGGGAAGCATCTAATGACTATGTATCTTGTTGTTGTTATTATTGTTATTGTTATTGTTGTTGTTATTGTTTTAATATTTTTTTTATTGCAAAGCCAGATATAGAGAGAGGAGGAGAGACAGAGAGGAAGTGATTTTCCGTCCAATGATTCACTCCCCAAATGGTCATAATGGCCAGAGCTGAGCTGATCCAAAGCCAGGAACCTGGAGCCTCTCACGGTCTCCCACACGGGTACAGGGTCCCAAGGCTTTGGGCCGTCCTCAGCTGCTTTCACAGGCCGCAAACAAGGAGCTGGATGGGAAATGGAGCTGTCAGGAATAGAACCAGTGCCCATATGGGATCCTGGTGTGTGCAAGGCAAGGACTTTAGCCACTAGGCTACCTTGCCAAGTCCGACTATGTATTTTTTTGTAGTAGGGGCAGCCAGTGCAAATAATTGCAACATGATAATACTCTGATTAGACATGTTTTTTCATATACTATGGAAATGGTTTATAAATTGAATCATTCTCTCACCTTGAACTACTTTTCCATGTGCAGGTAGATCTATATGCAGATAGGTCTACTTCTGTATTGTCTGCTGTTCCATAAATCTGTCAATGCTATATTATTTTCATAGTAAATTTTTATAGTGTTTTTAATATATAGTTTCATTAAATCATAGTAGTAATCCTTGCTTTTCTGATTCCTTTTCTTCCTCCTCATCTTCTCTCCTTCCCTTCTTCCTTCTCCTCCTCCTTCGTTTAAATGAAAGGCAGAGTTAGACAGAGAGATCTTCTGTCCTCTGGTTCACTTCCCAGATGCCATAGTTGCTGGACAATGCCTCATACAATTAGGACTTATGTTCAGATTCATGATTAGGTAGTTTCGTTGTTACGTGAGCAGCGTCTTCATTCTCATTGTATCTTCTAACTGGTTAATCTTTTTTATATGGAACTTTACATCTCATGACTTAATTTCTCTTAGCTGCAATTCTTCAATTACTTCTTCTGTATAAATAGGTTTATAGTTATATCATCTGCATAGAGAGATGGTTTTATATCTTTGTTCCCAGTTCTCATGCCTCCTGTTATTTTCCTTGTCTAATTGCAGTGACTAACATCTCCAACACAATGTTTACTAGGAATGGGGAAATATCTGCATCTGGTTCCTGTTTTTAGTATTTTTAGCAGGAAAGCCTCTGCATCTTATTAAATGAGATACGGAGCATCTGTTTAATACTGTTTTGGGAAACCATTATATTTTTCTGTATATTTTCTAGGAATATTTCGTTTTTTTATTTTAAAATGAAAAATATGTTTAGGAGAAATACATTTATAGAAAACAATGGTATTTTACACTGTGCTCTGTAGCTTTTCAAATATTTTCTAATATAGAATTAATTTGGTTGTGTGTGATAAAAGGTCAGATATGGCACTTTAATTTTATAGTCAAATAAGTATTCAAGGAAATTAACTAGTTAACCTGGGTCGTGCTCATAGAAAGTGGTAGAGCCAAGATCACAAACAGTGATTTTATTTTTACCACACAACGCAACATGTTCGTTTTAATAAATATTTTCTTTTATGAAACTTTAGACTCAGAACAATGCATTTTATAAATGAATATATATTATGTAAGTTGAATATATGAGTTATTTGCTTTTTAGAATATAACTTTTATTTATGATGGGCTTCAAAATGTTTATGGAAAACCCACATTATTGTTTTTTCTTTGTAAGATTTTTTTAAAGATTTATTTTTTAAAATAAATATTTATATGTCAGATATACAAAGAGGACGAGAGACAGAAAGATCTTCCATCCTCCCCAAGTGATCACAAGGGCTGGTGTTGCGCCAATCCAAAGCCAGGAGCCAGGAACTTCTTCCGGGTATCCCACACAGGTGCAGGGTCCCAAGGCTATGGGGCATCCTTCACTGCTTTCCCAGGCCACAAGCAGGGAGCTGGCTGGGAAGCAGGGCTGCTGGGATTAGAACTGGCGCCCATATGGGATCCCGACACTTTCAAGGCAAGGACTTGAGCCACTAGGCCACCGCGCCAGGCCCTCTTTGTAAGATTATAACCTGCTCCAAAGGCAGAAGAACTGTGAGCGATAGGAAGAGAGAAGGAAAGAACGAGAGAGAGACAGAGGAATGTGTTGTTCACTCCCCAGATGACCAAGTGCTGGCCAGGCCAAAGCCGGACCTCCGTCCTGGCCTCCCATGTGGGTGGTAGTGGCCCAAATGACTGGCCTGACTTTTAGTGTTTTCTCAGGCATGTTAGTATCAGCTCAGTGGACTCAAACTGGCACCGCGATGTGGTTGTCACCATTGCAGGTGCAATTCAACCCACTGCACCTCAGTGCCACTCTCTAGCATTATGTTTAAATTCCAGGTCCCCACAAACTTTTTGCACATGTGTACCCTGTGTTTTGAAAGTGAAACATCACGGATAAGTCTAACGTTGCCTTTAATGACAAAATTCAGCCCCGTATCCCCTCCTCAGAGGCACTTACCTGCGTGAGTTTGACGTTATTCTTCTAGTCCATTTCAAAATAATCATCATGTGAGTGACCTTGAAAAAAAAGTATTATAAATACAGTTTCAAAATCCACCTTATGCTCTATGAAGACACTTCTGCAGATTCGTGGCAAGTGGACTTAAAAATGTTGACTGAAAAAAACTGCATAGATTTAAACTTATCGCACACGAAGTAATCTTTTCATTCTGTATTCCCCAGAGTTTTCCAGTGCCCTCAGGCACACACATCTTCCTTTGCCCCCGGTCTGGGGGGAGGCAAGGTGCCTCAGTGTGGTGCAAAGCACAGCCTCTGCTGCCGGAACCTCAGTCTCCACACAAGTCTGCTTCCTCTCCACCATCACCTTGCCTCACTAAGTTGTTCTCATGACAAATTCTCAGAAATGTAGAAAGATGCTTTCCATTTGGACTGAACTTCCATCTGGTCTTTCAGAGTTGTAGCAGAGTAATTCATGAAAAGAGGAGAAACATACAAATATGAGAGTTAGGCAACTTTTGAGTATTGTGTTGTTACCAAAAATCCAAATAAAAAAATGCCTCCTGAATGGACACTTGATTTCCTTAAGGCTATAGAAGAGTTAAAAATTCTGGCAAAAACTAAAACTAAAACAAAACCCTGCTTTCTCGAATTAAAATCAATTTGAATACATGATAATGAGAAAATCATTTAAAACCTACATATGATACAAAATCGCAGCAATGGGGCTGGTGCTGTGGCTCTCACCTGTGGAGCCACCATGCCGTGTAGGCATTGGTTTGAGACCCCACAGCTCCACTTCTGACCTGGCTCCCTTCTTATGGCGGGGGAAAGCAGGAAAGCAGCAAAGGATGGCGCAAGTCCTTGACCTCCTGCCTCCTGGCTTGAGTTGGTTCAGCTCCAGTTATTGCTGTCATTTGGGGCATGAACCAGCAGATAGAAGGTCTCTCTGTCTCTCCTTTTCTCTATAACTCTGCCTTTCAAATAAAAAATAAGTCTTTTTTTTTAATAAACAAAATGCAGCACTTACAACATTTCTGACTCCAGAGTAGGGAAGTGAAACACAATTCCAGAACATTTTATTCGATGATCTTTCCTGTTCTCCCTGCTGGAAATAAATCTTTGCTAGTCAGATGCTGCAAAAATTCCAATAAACAATAGAAATGTCACTTTATTGCTCAGTGAAGTGTTAATGATATTATACCAGGTTGAAAGAGTTTTCTGTAGTGAGCCAGATAGTATTTTCAGCCTTGCATACCACTTTGGCCTTTTATAGCGACCCTACTGTTGTGTTGCAGCAAACATACCCAGAAGCAACACATAAAAAATGGGCAAAAATGGGCTGGACTTGATGACATTGATTAATGGAAGCAGTTGAAGCGGGGATCGGCAGCTCAGCCGATGGTGGGTAAGACTCCAGGCATGTCAGAGTGCTTGGTTTGAGTACTGCTGCCTCTTGCTTCCCACCCAGATGCTTGCCTAGTGTGCACCTGGGGAAGCAGCAGGTAGCTCTGGGGAGCCTTGGTACCCACATGGGGAACCTGGATTGAATTTCCGCCCCCCCCCCCCTTTGAACTGGGCCACTCTTACCCGTTATGGGCATTTGGGGTGTGAACCAACAGATGGGGGGTGGGGCCTTTCTTTTCTCTCACCCAGGGATTCTCTCCAGGAAGTAAATAATTTTTGTTAAGTTGGGTGGATGTGAGCTATGGGACTGAGAAATCTTCCTAGGGTTAAGACAGGAGGATATTGTTAAGTGTTTCATAACTGGCATTGGGCAGGGGAAGGTGAGTCCTCACCCGTAACATTTGTACCTATTCACAGGATCCGTAGTCGGTTTCAGGTGACCAATCTGACATCAGTGAGCAGAGATGGAAAGGGACCACAGTGCACATGACTGCATTTTTATCACATAGTGTAAGAAGGCTCCAGAATAGAAATCTTAGCTAAGATGAAAAGGTCATTAGGAAGTGATGAATTTGAATAACCATTAGTTTTGATTTTAATTTGCTTAATTGCTAATTCAGATAACTTGATTTTAGTCATGTTCAGTGATTTTAGTATTTAATGATATTTAACCACCGGCTCACAAAATTTCTTAAAATGTAATAATTAGCTCTAGTGAACCACTACTCTAATAGACCACTCCACTGAAGGATATGATCAAGAATTTTGGTTTAGTAAGTTGCCTTTGGAATTATAAGTTCTATGTATAATAATAATCAATGTTACTTATTTGTCTGATTTTTTTCCCCCATAAGGCATAACTGTGACGCCTGATGAAGAACAAAACTTGAATCATTATGTGCAGGTTTTAGAGAACCTAATGCTAAGTGTTCCCACCAGGGATCAAGGCCGTGAGAGAAAATCAAAGCCTCCAAAAAATGATGTTTCTGTAGAACCGAGGACATCGAGGGAGTTAACGACACCCACGTCACCTGCAGAAGCTTCATCTGAGAATGAGGGCTTAACCAGTCCTGTCAGTGACGAAACTGCAACTTCTCCTTCTAAAGGTTTCACGCTGGAAGCACCAAGGAAAAAACGTACTCGAAGTACAGCCTTCTGGTCCATCAAACCAAACAATGTCTCTGTTGTTTTACACGCTGAAGAACCTTACATTGAAAAGGAAGAGCCTGAGCCGGAGCCTGAGCCGGGGCCGGTTACGAAAACGGAGCCGGAGCCAACGTGGAGAAAAACTGAGCCCGAACCGGCTACGACCACAGAGGAGCCAGAGCCGACCACCAGGACGACGGAGCCCGAGCCGACCACCAGGACGACGGAGTCCGAGCCGGCTACCAAGACCACCGTGGCCACCACGACCGAGTTCTTCACCACGCTGCCCAGCAGCACCCTAACCACGCGCAGCACCCACATCATCATGACGTCCACAGAGTCGGAAGACGTCCCTGAGCTCTCAGGCGAGTATGAAGAACCAGCCTACGAACCGCATGCGAGCTTGGATTATGACGGGATCCTGAGGAAGATCGCCGACATGAAGCTGCAGGCGCGGCGGGCACCTTTCTTCGACAACAGTAACCCCGAGTACAGGAAGGATATGAAGGCCTCCAAAGAGCACCTGCAGCGCAGCCTCGCCCTGGCCGCAGCTGCCGAGCACAAGTTACAGAAGATGTCCCGGTCCCGCCTGTTCGGAGTGGGGCGGACAATCGGTCAGGCGGATGACGCGGAAACTGTGATCAGCATGCTGTACAACGCCAGGGGTAAACTCCCCGAGTATTTGGATGTCAAGAGTGTTCCACCAGAGATGAGAAAAAGAGTTACCGCAGTCATCAATACGTTGAGAAAAATAGTATGTGGGGGCCAAGTAGAAACTCAAAACCTCATTAGAAAGCTACTAAGCAATAATATAAAGATTTTAAACCTACTTGATATTCCATGATGAAACTGCATTCATTCGCAGGAGAAATAAGCATATTGGTGATTTCCAGAGTTGTACAAAAATATTTTCTATTATAGCTTGATCTATTAACATCTGTATATATAATGTGTTATGAAAATTTTGCATGCACGAAGAGCTCAGTAAATTAAAATAAACTTCTAGTTCAGGAGCCTCCAGTTTTTGCTCATTAATTTTAAAGGTAGTGAAGATGTACCATTTATAGTGTTTAAACTTTTGCTTTACTTGGAAACTTTTGCTTTACTTGTGTGTGCCATTCACATATACATAGATAAGCATATACATATTTGTGTACACACACACATATATATTACACATATGCCCAATGTTAGGGAATTGCATATAAATGTAAATATTTGGGGGTTATTTAGTCTTTATTATTCTTCAGTGATTCTGACTTCAATCTCAATACCATAATTAGGGCTTGAGTCATAACTGGTTTTATTTACATCTATGTGTATCTACTTTTATTGTTAAGTGCTTATGGAGTAGCAATGAGTGACTGTAACCCCGGTTTATCATCACCTGTTTTTTTTTGTGGACATAGACATTGAAACTTCGCAAATCTGTATATTATTACAGTATGATGCAAGTAATTCTGTGTTGTGATTTGATAAGGAGTGTATTCAAATTCACTCATTTGTTTATTTAGGTATTCATTTATTGACCTTTTTACCGGGACAAAAACTCAACCTTGGGGATGCAATCATAAAACCTAATAGCTAATATCTTCTCTCATTGATATACATTATAGCAAGAGAGACATTCATGAAACAAGTAATGCCAACAATTTTGAGAGTTTAGTTGTGACAGTTTGTTAGGATGGTGTGAGATGACAGACGTCATCTAGACCAAGAACATGGGAAAGGGATTCTGAGAAAGAACTGGGTGAGGTGTGAGAGAGGGAGCTGTGCAAAGGGAAGTGGCATTCCAGGCAAAGGATGCAGCCTGTGAAGTGCTCGGGCAGACCCGGAAGTGCCTGGAGGGCAGGAAGGAAAGGAGTGAAGCCGGCATTGGGATGTGGTGGGATGAGCCTCCTTCTGCAATCCTAGCACCCCATGTTGGCACCGGCAGTTCTGGGAAAGCAGTAGAAGTTGGGTCAAATACTTGGGCCCCTGTGTCCACATGGGAGGCCTGCATGTGCTTCCAGGCTTCTGGCTTCTGGCTGGTCCAGCTCTGGCCTTTCTTGCCATTTGAGAGAGAGCCAGCAGATGGAACATTCCCGTTCTCCCTCTCTGCTCTCCCCTTCTGTTCCTTTTCCTCCTCTCCCTCCTCTTTGTACAAAATTAGGAGTGGTGACATACCGGAGTGTAAGTAGATCCTGCAGGATTTGTTAATATGTAAGTGGATTTTAAGCTAAGGACTGGTCTAGTGCAAGCAAACAATCTGATCACCATTTTAGAAGCAGGTCAGAGAAGCACACTGTGCTCAGGCCACATTCAGCTTGGGACAGAGAGGGGTGGCAATTGGGGAACAGCAACAGAATTTGGCAGTTGAATGGATATGGAGACTGACGGAGTAGCAAGGATCAGAAATGATTCCCGCTCCCAGGGCTGTCCTACATTGGAGTTCCTGGACACAGTTCCCAGCCCTAGCTCTTGACTTTATTTTCCTGCAAATGCTTGTTGGCTCAAGCGACTGGATTTCAGGCATCAAAGAGGGAGAGATGTTCCCAGCTTCCGGCTTTGGCCTTGCCTTTCCCCAGCTGTCACAGGCGTCTGGAGGATGAGCCAGCGGATAGGAGCTCTGTCCCTTCCTCTGTCTCCTTGCCTCTCAAATAAATCAGAAAATAATTTTGATACATAATTATAGAAGTTTTGTTTCATAAAAACATTATTATATACTAGTGTTTATTCTACACAACTATTTCACGGTGGAAAATTTCAAACACATACATAATAAACAGTACTAAAATGAATGCACGTAATGTCATCTGGTTGCAACCATTAGCTAGTTTTATTTATTTATTTATTTATTATGATGTTTACATGGTTGATCAGGGTGGGAAGGACTGAGGGTTAGGGAAAAGTGGGTGTAATCATTGTTTGTAAGTTTTCTATTTCTTCTTTCTGTTTCTGGGGGAGGGGAGGTAAGGGGTGATGCCACACCCAGTCTCCCAACTGCCCCAATACCTGGTAATGGGGAATGGCTACCCGATACCGACCCAGGGCCCGGAGTGGCACATGCTCCAAGGATTCTGCCCAGGTGGTTCTGACAGTTCTGAAATGCTATCAATCTTACAGATCCAAGGATGAGGGAACACTTTCATTGTTTATTGGTTGGCATAGTCGACCTTACAGTCTCCATTCAACCAGATATTTGCTGTGATCATTTGACTGGGGTAGGTGTCCAATTTGTACCATTCTCCTTCCTCTGCTCTAGTACCAGTAGACCAGTCCTCTGCAGGTCCCAGTGGACTGTTATATTCTCTATGTGGATCTGGATAAGCTGTTTACTACTCCATCTTTTCCACTGAGTAGGACCAGTTCTCACAAGTAACCAAAGAACCTCCCGCAGCACATGGACATGGCACCCACTGTGCAGGCAAGCCCAAGGACTCAGGCCAGGCAACGCAGGACCCACTGGCCCCAATCTCCCAGGACTCACAGACCTGGCACCCATCGCCTCCAGACTGGCATAGCTCACCCCACCTCAGCGTCCACCAATGAGTGCTGTAGCCTAGCTCGGTCCAGTCTGCCCCTGGTTCCAGCTCCTGTTGGTGGGTGCTACAGCCTACCTAGCCCAGTCCAGCCAGCTTCCTATCCCAGCTCTAATGTCAACTGGCCGGTGTTGCAGTCAGACCTGGCTGCTCCTGCACCTTCTCCTGGTTCTCAGATCTGCCAGTGGATGTTATGAACTGGCCCAGCTTGGCCCACCCCCAGACCTGACCTACACGTATGCCAGTGGGTACTGTTGCCTGGCCTGGTCTGGGCTGCCCCTTACTCTGGCTCTTGTGCTCACCTGCAGAAGCTGTGTCTTAACAGAAGAGTTCCCTAACCTCCTCCTTCAGGTCACCTCCAAGTGACAGATCTTATGCACACCGGTGAGTCTTTTGCCCAGGCTGACTTTGTCTGCTTTTTCTAGCAGGAGCTAGTTCTTGCCCAACTGGCCTATACCAAATCCATTTCTTACTGTTGGGTGTTGCAGCCCAGCCATACCTGCTCTGTGTCCAGACACAACACTCATGTGGTTCAGCCGGAGCTGGGACCTAGTCCAACCCAGCCCAGCAAATTCTACACCCACCCTGGCTCTCATGAATACCAGTGGGTACTGGAGTCTAGCCCGGTCTGGTACTCTCCAGATCCAGTCTACACCCATGCCAGGGGAAACCTAAGCCATGTCCAGCCCAGCCTGCTGTCCCCATTCCAACTTGCCCTCAGCTGTGCTGTTCCCCAGGCCTCCCCTGTAAGCCCACACCCACAGAGTGTGCCAGTGGTGCTGGGCAAAGCCCAGCTGGCCATAGACATGCTTATACAAGGAGGACCCAGCCACACTGTCTCAAGTCCCAATAGCTAGTCTTTTTCATGTATCTCATGCCGCGTCACCCCTTCTTATTTCGTGTTGAGCTACATCCCAGACACTTTAACGTTTCACCTGTAAACATTAACAATATGAAGCTCTGTCAGCTCCATCACAGAAATTTAATGATTATTTTTAATTAATTTTTGAGTTCCAGTTTTGACTTTATTACCTAATAGAAGTACAACCTATGATATGCTAGAATTAATGGTTCAAAAGTATAACGAGAACATAATTTATAAGTATTTAATGTATTTCTGAATAGTAGTTCCAAATTTAGAATGCAAAGAAGTGCACATGACGAAAGACCAGTCTAGCTCAAGGCCCATGAGGTTTTTACTTAATGTCAGTTTTTAGAGGTTCTTCAGGATTTTCTGTGGTGATTTTTAATGTCGTAAAACACCTAGTATTCAAACTCCCAAACTTATGATTTTTAAAATTTATAATACACACATCAAGATCAAAATTCCCAACTTGATATCGGTTGATTTATTATTTAGTTCTTCATTACTACAACTAAAAATGCCTAAAAGGAGCTTCTTAGAAAGGCAGCAGGTTTATTTTGTTTTGCAGTTTAGAGAGTCCTGGTTCAAGATGGGGCAACTGCAGTGGTTGAGGCCTCTGGAGGGGCTGGGAAATGACAAAGGCAGCCCTTCCTCTGCCCTCTTGGGGTCTCAGAACACCACCATGATTCCATGAGGGGGCTCCAATCCTATCATGCTCCAGGGTCCCACCTTCAAACATCATAACTGCATTAAAATGTATCCTGAGCCCATCAACCATTCATCTGTTCATCATTAACATAAAACTTCACTGCCCTGATGTCAGCCCGGGTTTGGGGAGCCCAGGCCTTGTTCAAACTACAACAGCTGATTGGACATATTCGTCAGTTTTAATCTGAAGATTTTTTGACCTCTTTTTCTCCCTTGAAATCTGTCATCAAAGAAATAGGTCATTTGTGCTGTGGCTTCCCACAATTTAGGTCTTTGCTGATTGCATCTCCAGTAATGTCATTTGCATGGTCTGTCCTTTGTGTTTTCTGTAAACTGGTTATTGATTCTGGAGAAGTGTCGTCAGCTGGAGGCTTGCCATTTGTTCTCTTGACCAGACAGTGTTTCTTCTTCCCTTTGATTGTGTGGGTGTGTGTATTTTTAGAAGGCTTTGAGGTCATTGGCTTAATTTGTCAGGCGATAAAGTGGAGATAGCATTCTTTGTTAGCTGAAATAAATCTATAAAGAGAACCATTGTTCAATCCACTATTTGATGCCTCAGGAGTCCAGTGTATACTGGAACATCATCAAATGCTCAGATCTTTCTTCCCTTTAAAAATGCTTTTCAAAAAACTACTTAGTAGGATCCTCCACCAATGATCTTATTATCTTTTGACATTGCTGATTATAGTTTTTGTACAGCCATTTTAGGCATATAGATAAATTTACAGAAGCAGCAAAGTTCCCTTTTATTTCCCTTTCTCCCTGGTAACTTCCCCTGTTATTTCCATGTTGGTGTGGTGCAGTTGTTAGTGATGAGTCTACATCATCACCCAGAATCCAAAGCTTGTAAGGAGTGTCGTTCTTGGTAACTGACATGCTATGTGCTTGGACAAATGTATAGGACCCTTATTGGTTCATTGA